GCCGAGGGGCTGCCCCTGCATCCGCCCAGGCCTGTTCGGTGGCGTGCTTGTCCGGAGGGACCGCTGACCTTGGACAGGTCGATCTTCGACTCTCAGCCAGCTCTACGGGCCCCGCCTCGCCCCTGCGGGGCTTTCCGGAATCCCCTGGGATTCCCTGAGGGGGCAGAGCCTGCCCTCCGGACCGGCCGGCTGCCGTCCCGCTGCTTGCCCTCCTTCCCTCCTGCCTGGTCCGGAACTCCACCGCCTCCTGGCCGCTGTAGCCAGGGCTGCCGCCAGCCTCCTCATGCCCCACCAGTCCTTCCCTGCTTGTGAATACGAGGGCACCTCTCCCTCTCCCTCTCCCTCTCCTCTCCCGGATTGCCAGGACGGTGTCACCGAGGCGCTCAGGAAGCTGCCTGGATTGCTTGCGCCCACCTGTTGCCCCCCCAGCACATACCGGGGTTGCTTCCAGTTGTCTAGAGAAGGCCTCGCCCTAACGATCAGTCATCATACTGTGGAATCATTTATTAAAAACTACAGGGTCCCGTCTTTTTCTGAGCAGAATAGAAGCCTTCATTTAATTTGGTTTATTATCACTATGTATAAAAGTGACCTATACTTCAGAAGTTACTTCGCAGTGTAGATTTTTGTCCTGCCCCAAGGGAAGAAATGTTAGTAGTGTATATCCTTGTGACTCACACTCTTCCTGACTTGAACAGGTAACCAAAAATGTGAAGCCTTACAGACTATACCAGTTAGGAGGAAAAAAAATAGTGATTAAGTCAGCTACTTTTTAAAAAGCTGTAATCATCTTTGGGAAAAAGCCTGCCTCTGGCTACAGCCCTAAAGTTCTTTAGCTGGAGTTGGCCAAAAGCTCAATCTCTTGGTGCCTTTAAGGTTCTTGTATGTCTGTCTGCTGCCCTGTGATGATTAGCTGTGCACTCAGACTGTGTCTGAGTCGATCAGGTTCCGAAAAGAATTGTGTGTAACTTTTCCTGTAGTAGGAGTAACTTGCTTGTGGTCTTTTGTTAGAACACTTCACAAATGCATGCAGTTGGAATAGTTGCAGCTTCATGTGTTGATAAATTGTCATTGCTTCCAGTAACGTGTACAAGGCTGTGAGCTGCAGCAGCCGAGGGCTGTGGTTCATGGTCTTTGTCGCATATAGCTGCAGTGGCGAAATCCAGCTGGAATTCAGGATTGGAATCCTGAATGTCTGCACTTCAGTTTTTCCTGCCTTGTCTTGATGTCTTACGGTATCTTCTATTTTTGATAGCTGATGAGTAGTTTTTTTGTAGCTTTTTTTACATACAAGTAAGCAGGAACAGTGACTGAAACGTCACTTACCTAGATTACCAAGTCAGCCAATGTACGACAGGCTATTTTACCAGAATTGTAATAGTAAATTGTCAATGTTTTTCCCCAAAGTACTGTACATCTCTGCATGTGCGTTAGCAGTGGAGTGTTCAGAGGAGCTGCTGGATAAATACTTCTATGGATAAATTATTTGCATGTGATTCTCTTAATACCCATAAAGTCCTACAAATGGTAGGGTTAATTTTCTGCCTTGTTTAAGATTTTGGGGAAAAAAAACCCAAAACAAACAAAAAGAACCCCCACAATTTAAATCAGGAGTGAGGCTCTATTGCATCAGTTGCTTGACAGGTTGTTGTTTGATTTCTTTATTTTGAAGATGCAAAATAAATTATTAAAGCAATACAGTATTATTGTGGGTTTTTTTTTCTTCCCAGGTATTCTGATTGCTATGGCAGCCACAAGAAATGTGATGAGAGCTGTCAGAGTTTTTGAATTTGGTGGCCCTGAAGTGCTTAAACTCCAGTCAGATGTCTTAATTCCTGATCCAAAAGAAAATCAGGTATATATGAATTCTGTGAACTGAAATAATAATATTGAATGATAACAGGTACACTCAGAACAGAATGGAGAATACAAACCAGAAGTTTTCATCTTGAATATGTAGTTTTTGATCCGTGTATTCATACTACCTGAGACATCATGTTTAAAAAATGTGAGCTTTTTACTGTTTCTTGGGCTTCATTTCAGGATTTCCTGAAAATAGCTTCAGTTCAATACTGAATTTTTGCTGTCTCTGTTTAAGAATTTAGTTAAAATGTCACGATACTGTGCTGTGAATTCAAGTTTTAAATCTTTTTAGTTATTGTTTAAGAAGCATCTTTTCTTTTAGGTGTTAATTAAAGTCCATGCCTGTGGAGTAAATCCTGTCGAGACATATATTCGTTCTGGAAATTATGCTAGAAAACCAGCTTTACCCTATACTCCTGGCTCAGATGTGGCTGGTGTGATAGAAGGTGTTGGGGAACAAGTGACTGCATTCAAGGTATTTATGCACTGGGTTTTAATTAATTATTGTCCATGGTATCCTATTTGTGTGATTGTTCGTGTTTTTATTGCTTATAATCATGAAATCTATTCGGCAGAAAATGACCTTTGCTGACTGGTAAAAGCATGCAGCGAGATCATATTGGCAATCCAGTCTGCAGATTGAACTGCAGGGAAGTCTTTGGTGCTGTTGACCTCCAGGAGTTAAAAGGCCTCAGAAGAGGCCCTTCAGTTTGTCTGCTTAAAGCAATGATATCAGGTGCACAAAAGTTGTGGCTCAGAACTATTTTTATGGCATTGCAGAAATATTTGAAGTTGGATGCTTCCTGTTTGAGATAATCTTTTCATGCGGAACTGAAAAAAATTCTGTAAAGTTTTTTTTGAAAATGGAAATAGCTTTTGTTTTACTGACTTACGACACTCCATAAATTACGTATGTGTTGTTAAAACTGTTCACATACTTTATTGCTCCAGTCTAGTAATTTTGCTTAGATTTTCACAAGGGGAAAGTCTTGGGGCAGAAGGCAATTATCAGTTTGCTAAAAGATATCTATGAAATGGATTTAGTTTTTAAATCTGTTCTTCCTTTCCAGTGACTAGACTGTTGGTCTCAGACAAACATAAAAATTGTAGTTAAAATGGTGTTGGAATTTCCTGACTTGCAATTTAGGTAACTATTGTGGGAGACATGAGGGATTTGATTGTCTAGAGAGAATTGTGTTTATTCATATTTTCTTATCAGTAGTTTGCTATATCTGCTGTGTGTGCTTTTCGGTTTTTATGGAAATCGTGATGGTCTCTGCTTGAATGAAAGAGATGACGAGATCGATATGTGCCACAGACAGACATCCTGAAAATGCTGAGGTGCCAAGCTGGCTCATTTGCATACTCATCATGCTGGAGAAACAGCTGTGCTGATACACAGCCCTTTGCACTGTAGTTAATACCTGATGGCTGCAAACCAAACTGGTGTAGTCCACACGCTGTATATTTATTGGGATCAACATGCAAATGGTAGAAAAATCAGAGCTCGGTAACTGCTGACATTAACGGATACTGCTTGTACATGGCTGGATGCTGAGCTGGACCACAGCAACTGGCGCCGTGCTCCATCAGCAGGACTGAAGCGCCTGGGCGCACACGCACACAGCACACGGCCAGGTGGTGCATTTCCTGCCTCACCTCATGAATTGAGTGTTCCCAGTTGAAGAACAGCAGCAATATTTACTTACCTTAGGATATATCAGGAGAAGATCTTTTTTTCATGTTTAAACAAAAATAATTGAGAAATGTTTCTTTTGTGTTTGTAAAGGCTTTTGAGGTTTTGCATTTGGAATCTGTGGATGGAATTCTTTAGTCTTCAGGTTCATTAAGGTTAATGAGACAGTAAGTTTGTGTGTTGTACTGCAGCGCGGGGGTTGTAATTATGACACTTAAATCAAAGTATATGAAATGATATGGTTTGTGTTGCATTGATTGTGTGTGTTAGCATTTATAAAAATCTTCTCTGTGACAAATATAACTGGTTATTTTTAATAGGAGAGCTGTTAGAAATAGCCCAAACTTCTGTGAACTGGTTCTTAATATCTATTAAGGAAAAAATAAGGGAGATTATTAATTTCTCTACTTTCTTTCCCTCCTTTTTAGAAAGGTGACCGGGTTTTTACCACTGGTACAATCTCTGGAGGATATGCAGATTATGCAGTTGCTGCAGCTAACAGAGTCTTTCCTTTGTCGGATAAATTGGACTTTAGGCAAGGAGCAGCGATTGGAATACCCTACTTCACCGCTTATCGTGCTCTTTTCCAGAAGTAAGGTGCCAAATCTAAGTTCGTGCATTTTGTTTTTGAATATTTAAAATACTGAAGCCCGTATTTTTATTGTCCTGTGAAATGGGGGGAGATCAATGAGTGGGAAATGTTTAAAACACTTAAGTTAAATTTTTTTATACTGATGGAATTGTCAGATAAGTGTTACCTAGGAGCATTTTCCTGTTAAGTGTTTTTTCTTAAGAGAACAGACCTGGAAAGGCTTCTTTGATAAGTATCTTGGAATAAAATGTGTAATTCTCTTTCAGTACTCCTTGGTATTTTAGCTAGGGAAGAAAACCAGGAATAGTTCTAATTTCTTAATTAAACAGTGTGCTGTAGAGCAGAGCCACCTCTTTTCTTCATGAGCCTCTCTGCCAGAGACACTCTGTGTACAGTCCTGTCTGTTGCCATAGGGCAGTAGAACGAGTAAAGGCCAGACTTCCGTGTCAGCTCAGTGAGAGCTTAGGACTGGAAATCTGGTTTAGTTTGACAGAACAAATTATTAGAACTAGTGTGGTTTATTTTAAGATCTGTAACGGGTGAAGATCTTGAACTGAGGTTCAGTACCAGGTTGTTACTTGCTGCTAGTTGCATGTTGACATAATTGCATATTACTTAAATTCATAAATGATATGGTTTATTTTGCCTCCCTGTTTTCCCAAAGAGGCTGATTATACCTGTTTAGCCATAACATGAATTGGAAATAATAATGTGTGAGAGATGAGATTTGATGTCAGTATATGCAATCTGATGCTTAATTATTATGTACCACAATCATAATGCCAATATTTTCTATTTCTCCATTCAGAGGGCGTGCCAAAGCAGGGGAAAGTGTGCTAGTGCATGGTGCAAGTGGGGGAGTAAGTATTTTGAGAAGGCAAGTTATAAGAAGTGCTGCTTTCTGTCCTTGTATCTGCTTTTGTCTGTGATACTATTTATGGTCACATTTATAACAATTAATGGATTAACAAAATTAGGTTTTTGTTTCAGACACTTCAGGATGCTTTTTTCTTAGAGCAAACCCTGTTATTCCAAATAACTATGAAACTGCATGAGTGATTGTGTAAGGCTCCTAATACCGGGGGTCACATAATAAACACATTGCTGCAGTCAGAAGTTGGTCTGGAAGCTTTCTAACCGATCTTCCTGAGATAAAACTAATAGCAGAAAGCTGTAATTTTAAAATATGTACAAGTTGTTCTTAGTTCTCTGAGTAGTAACCACTGGTGCATAGCAACTATGCATTTCTGGGATGTTTTTACCTATTCACTAACAGCTAGCTGCACGAGGAGAGATACTGGAATATATAAATTTATGACTGAATACTATGTGAAATCGAACATACAGTTTTCTTTGGTTTTACATGACAAACTAACTTCAGATGTCTCTCACACAACGTTTTAGTTTAATTTATCCCTCATACTCTGCACTTTGTTGTTCAGCTTCTGCTGATGCACCAAACAGCTGCTATAAATGGGTGAAATTCCTTAATTAGTTGGTAGACAGCAAGAAGGTGATTATGACAGTCTTGCATGAGGAGTAATTCAGATCTCTTTCTAAGATACTAGAATGGCATTCAGCATCATAGCCTCTTTTTTCTTAAACTAAATGTAGTGTTTCTACTCTTAGTTATTTTATGTTTCTTTAAAAGATACATTGCCTTTGGTTTGCAGAAGCATATAATGCAAGTCTGTTGTTGTGTGGACTTGTAACCTTTGTTACAGGAATACTTGTAAGAGCAGTGAGAGAAGCATAGGTAGGAAGCACATGCTGAAGAGAAAAGATGGTTTGTGAGGCATCTTTTCTTTCAAGTGGTGCTCAGTTCTATAGTGATTCTTAAAAATGTGCCTCCTTTTGAATTTTTCTCTGAAAATCAGTTTGGCCATGATTTATTTTAATTAGTGGTGTTTGTTTTTCCATTTAGTTGAAAACTGATGATCTTCTATTGAGAAAACAAGGTCACATTTGGCAAACAGTCTGGGTAGATCCTGGCCAGACAGGTGGCCACGGTAGATTTTTTTTTTTGAGAAGCCTGTCCATTTATTCTCTGTGTTATTCATACCTACAAATTTAAGCAGCAGAGACACAGAATGGAGTTTTTATGGTCTTCTTTATTTGTATATTTATTTATTTGTTTGTTCCTCCCTTCTCCCCCCAAATATTAAAACATGCATATATCAACATATCCTGGAGGAGGTATCCAGCTGTATGGTTGGTACAGTGGGCTGCCGAATCTGTAGCCTCAGGAAGCTGACCAGCTGGGACTGAATCCCAGGGAGGCATCGTCCGTGTCAGCTGTTCCCTTGTTTTGCTTTTGCATTCTGTGGCTGTGACACAAAGCAAAACCAAGAGATGGTGTTGGTATGCCTCAAGTGATCATTGGCTCCAATGCCAGTGAAGGCATCCCACACCTCTAAACATCCTCTGGAGTGCAAAGTGCATGTCTCTGGTATGAGACACTGAGAATTTGCTTTCTAAAAGTATCATTTAATCTCTTTGTGAAAGGTGCAAAAGTAGCATTAATGAAATCTGTGCTTGCAGATTTTCTTTGTAGTATATTGTGCTGGTATCAATAGCAGGTGATTCTGTAAAGAGAAGAATTTCCTTGGCTTTGTACCAAATATACATGGCCGAACTTTAACAGATAGACATCCAATGCTGATAGCTATTAAAAAACCCACAAAACTTTACTCTGCCTCTGTAAATATCTTTTTTTAAAGACTATTTCGCTATCTAAGATCGAAGTTACTTATCATGGCTAAAAAAATGTTACCAGGCCAACTTTTTAAGTGGGTAAGTTCAAAGCTTCTGGTGGAACATAGAAAATTTAAAATGCTAAGAAAGCAAGAGACCAAAAGACTACTTCTTTTTATTTATTTCTTTTTCTCCCCTCAGGTGGGAATAGCAGCATGTCAGATTGCCAGAGCTTGTGGTTTAAAGGTTTTGGGTACAGCAGGAACTGAGGAAGGCGTGAACATGGTTCTGAGAAATGGTGCTCACCAAGCATTTAATCACAGAGAAGCTAATTACACTGATAAAATCAAGGTAAGCATGTATCAGGGCTAGGTGATGCAGTATGTATTTTTCATACTAAAAAAATGTGAACAGTTGTTTGCACAAGTTTTTTAAAATGGATTTATGATATACGTAGGAGCAATAGTGTACTGCCTTCTTCATTTCTGCACAAGGAAAAACTTCTCCATGCTGAGAAACTGAGCTTTCTTCACAGGCAATGGCATTTAGAAACTCTTGCATTACAGCAAATTCCAATATGGTAGCATATCATAATTCAGCATATCAAAATATGCTAAAATTAAACTTATTAGCTGTCAGCCTTAGTACAAAGGCTGTATTTACAATTTAAACAATAAACTGTAAAATGTATGTTATCTGTAGTATATGAAATAAACAGCGGTACCCAAGCACAAACTGGAGTGATTTAAATAACATTTTATGTCCTGTATAGGAATACATAGGGATGGAAGGAGTTGATATAATAATAGAAATGCTCTCTAACGTCAATCTTGCTACTGACTTGCAACTGTTGTCCTATGCAGGAAGGGTGATGGTAAGTATTTTTTGTCACTGACTTTAGTTTGGGCATTTAACAACGCAATTCAACAGTTGTAACTTGAACTATCTTCTAACTTGTTTGTAACAGGTTGTGGGCTGTAGAGGTCCTATTGAGATAAATCCAAGAGACACTATGAGTAAAGAATCTAGCATAATTGGAGTTAGTCTGTTTCTTGCAACTGAGGTAAGAAACATTTTTATTTCAAAGAATGTTTGTTGGCTTATTCCAACACCTCTCTATTTCCAATTGTTTGTAGGGATGAAAAAGTAATTTCACTGTAAGTAACTCGCTTGTTCATTCCTTTACATTTTGATTTAATCTCAGAACATCATAAAATATTCTTGGGTTGTGAAATTTGGTTTAACACTTGCATAAATAGTCAATGCTTTCCTAAAATGTAAAGACCTTGTGGTAAATGCTGTCTTTATTACATGCAGGAGGAGAGGCATGAATGTGCAACAGCACTCCTTGATGGCATAGAAGCTGGCTGGCTGAAACCAACTGTAGGCTCTGAATATCCACTGGAGGAAGTAGTTAAGGCTCATAAAGACATTATTTGTAGCAGTGGTGCTCGAGGAAAGATGGTGCTCCTTCCATAAAGTCTCTTTCCATTTATTTTGTAGTTGTTCTAACTGCACCTTTGCTTACATAATTCATTGTATGTTATAAAACATACTTTTGATCAGGTTTGACAGTAACAACAAATGCTAACTTACATTAATTAATTAACAATCTATTTTCTTTTTGTAATAAGCAGAGTTGTGCATACTTTAAAGTAATTTTTATAGCCTTTTTGGCTGAAGTGGAAATAATAAAATTTCTCTGCTGGTGTGGCCCTTGTGATGCAGGGGAAACTAATATCTAGGATAGAATTTGATACCATGCTCTATGTGAAGTCATAGTGAGGCCACTGTAGGTAGTGCAAAATGGAAGCCTGCTTTTTAGGCAGATACACAAATGTATATAACTAACTATATGCATATAATTAGGACTCCATAAATTCTTTAGCCACAAAATTTGTCTCATTCATCTTTTGTCACATGATTTACTTGGAAGAAAAGCTTTTACTGCCCAAACAGTTCACTCTCCAGCTCAAAAGATGGCCAAAGAATCTCTCCAGTATGAACTGTTCGGAAGCAGGGGCAGTTTCATTTTGCTATGCCAGACTTAGTAGCTGAGGTGAAAGTGTCCCAGTTAATCCAAAGGGACCATAACTCTGAAGCTGTGTGCTAATATTTGCTACTTAGCAACTGATCATATTGGCAAAACCAGCTGATTCCTTGGCGGTAAATGGCTGGGTAGCAAGGATTTAAATTCTTCCTGTGACCTTTATTAAATTTAAAGTCACCTGATTCCCTGGCTACAATGAGGAGAAAAGAGAGGCTGCACTGCTTTCATGGGTACTAAGAATTTGTGTTATTTCATAAATGAATGTGTATACATTCTTGACTTGTTCCAAATACAATTCAAATAAGGAAGCATAATTTCTTTGATATGTTGTCAGTTTTTACACTCAAAATACTATTTGGTGTTACAGGCACTTCCTTTTAATGTTATAATTCTGTAAGGAGCAATGAAGTCATCACATGCAGAAGAGTTTTCTCAACTTCAAGGATAAGCTTTTCTGTTCCTTTGAGGAAAAGTGAGTCCTTACTGAACAGAAACTTTTTAGAAGTACTTTTGTCTGTGAAGGTGTCTCTGCTTTATAACATTCAGTCTGGATTCATTTGGTGTCATACTATCATAAATCAGCACACATTCTGTGAATCCATGTACAGTTTCCTCAGGGTGGTAGCTTCATCACGCTACCATTTTCTAAGTTGTGATTTTTTTTTTTTTTCTGAACACGCCTTGATTTCTACTGATCTTTTGCTTAATCTAAACTAAGACAGTAATTGGCAAAATCTGTCTCTTTATAAGCCTCTTGATCAGATCTTAACATTTTGTTTTAGTGCTTAATTGACCACGATTGTTCTGTATGTGGTTGGGAGAAATCAAATCATGACACACTACTTGCCTCTAGAGCCTGAAATCGATTAGTCATTTTACCTGTGTGTCCTCTAGGAACAATTGGCTCCTTTCAGAAAATCAGACACTATTTGTGTTGAACTCTTGCTGACATTGGAGTGTCTTCATTGTACTTGGCAGGCATGTTTAAAACAAAACAAAAACCTATGCCTGATCTCTGGTTTTGCAAGGTGTTGGTTTTTTTTTGTTTTTGTTTTTCTAATTAGAGTAGTTGAAATTGAAATATTTCCCAAGCTTGTAGACATGTTAGTGTTTAAATACTAGGTATACTAAAAAAAGTGGCAGAAAATTGTCGACTTATTTACACAGAAAATGTTGCAGGTGATAGCATCTGCCACCTGTAAGATCCTTCTTCTTGCCAAGTGACTTCCCCTTGGGGGAAGACCAGAATAGTTGGATCATTAGAACCGATGCAGTGCCAGCTTGTTTAAAATCTGTCTCAGAGAAGACCCAGTCTTTCTGCTTGATTTTTCTCGTGCACAGCTCTGCAAAGAGATGCAAAATACTTGCTTGGCAATGAGATAATAGAGCTTTACTTCCTCCCGCTCTCCAAGTGCAGCCTCAATAGATCCAGAAGTGGGTCTTGGAGTTCATGTGGTCTTCTCCAACAGCCACGTCCCTTGTGCTATCCCTGTTAAATGGATGAAAATATTTTGGCACCTTGTTACTGGAAAGTGGATGATTTACGGTAAGTGGATGGAAGTCAAGAAAGAATTTTCTTCAGAGCTCCAGTAAAAAGACTTACTTTTGTGTCATTGTAGTTGATTTGGATAACAATAGTTGGACTGTTACGGAATTGTAGAATGGTTTGGGTTGTAAGGGACCTGTAAAGATCATCTAATCCAACATCCCTGCCACAGGCAGGGACATCTTTCACTAGACCAGGTACTCTAATCCACATCCAACCTGACCTGGAATGCTTCTAGTGATGGTGCATCCCCAGCTTCTCTGGATAACCTGTTCCAATGTCTCACCACCCTCACTGTAAAAAATTTCTTCCTCGTGTTCAATTTAAATCTATGTTCTTTCAGGTTAAAGCTATTGCCTGTTGTCCTGTCACTACAGGCCTTAGTAAAAAGTCTTCCTCTTTATATATTGAAAGGCTGCAATAAGGTCTCCCTGGAGCCTTCTCTCCTCTAGGCTGAACAACCTCAATTTTCTCAGCGTTTCTTCATAGGAGAGGTGATTGTTGAGCACATCAGTCTTCTCCATGTTGGTTGTCACCAGCTCTCCCATCTTACTTACTAGAGGTGGTACCTTTTCTTTGATCTTCCTTTTCTGGCCAACGTATCTGTAAAAGCTCTTCTTATTATTCTTTGCAGCCCTCGCCAAATTCAGCTCCAACTGTGCCTTAGCTTTCCTAATCCCATCCCTACACATCTGGGCAGCGTCCTTGTGTTCTTCCCAGGATACCCCTGGAAGTATGCATGCTCATGCTGCTACGAATCTAGCTAGCATAGTTAACGAGACTATTGGGAACGGTTCTTTGCCCAGTTGCATGTTATTAGTTTCTAATTTGAGAGAATGTGAGATAAATAATAAACATTGAAATTTTTCTAAGTAAATGAGTATAGATACTAACCTTTTCAATATTCTACATTTTAAAATTTAATGCTCACACTCACTTTGGGGTTAGCAGTTAATGATAGGAAAGACTGGTGTCAGATGAAAGGCAGGCGGCATCTGTCCAGTTACACGTAGATTGATGTTTTTTTTTTATTAAAGGCACTGGGACGGTCTCACTGGGTAGTAGTTTCATCATTTCTCTAAGTTGGGAACTGAGGCTCGCTTCTGAGACAGGTGATGTCCTAGAAACAAGTAATGCTGTGCAAACTGTAGGGCATTGGGGGAGGAAATTAGCGTGGTTTTCAAGAATACAAACCAGAATAGGAGCAATAACCAAGCGCATATCACAAAAAAGGAAAGAAGATCTCTACATTGAGGCTTATGAAACTAACTCAGTTAGTGCTGATGATGAAAGAGCAAGGTCTTCGTGTCGAACAGGGAAGGAATGTTTTTCTAATGCACGGTTAAGTAATGTAAGGAAGACTTTGTCCAGCACCATGTTGGTCCCTGTGGAAGTGCATCTCCTGTGTTTTAAATTAACTTCTTAGTAGATAGGAGACCACTCTAAGTTCAAGGTTCAGGTTTGCAATGTCAGGCTTTTTCAGGTATGGAAAGGTCTCTTTTAATGCCATGTTCATTTTATTGGGGACTGCTACTCAAGTGATAATTTAAGCTTACAAGTGAATGATTTTTTTAATGTATGATAAATAGATACACATCTCTACAAGGATTTACATACTTTCCCCAACAGTATTAATTTGGCAGGATTTAAGTAAGTATATTTCTGGTGGGGGTGGATAATGTTAAGATATTATGGCTTTAAGTCTCGTTATGAAATGCGGGACTAAAGGAATATGCTGGATCACTGAGTTAAGTCCTCATTTCTTTCGAGCAGTTTGTCATATAATTGTTTTTGTGAACTTCTCGAGCTTCATCTTCTAACGTAGGTGGACCACAGTACTGTTTCCTCTGCACATGTAAACGTGAGGTTGTTTTGCTATTATACTGAGTCATTTAATTGTTTCTTCTTCTTCTAAACCTTAAAACCATTGCATCAAATGGATTGTTCTGCCAGGGAAGAAGATTGAGTGTTTCTGGAGTTACTGATTTCAAACGAATATTTTAGTAAGTGCTTTTGAAAATAGTTGCTAGGGTAGAGGAGGATTAGGCCGACTCAGCTGTAGTAATGCAGTAGCGCGGTACCCTGCCTCCTAGTCCCCCCAGGTGTAGTAGGATACTTCCCACCTGGAGGCTGTGCCGGTGCCCCGATGGATAGAAGCTGTTTTCCTTGTGTGTTGCACTTCCCATAGGAGTAGGGAGCTGCATTTCTACTTAGTCCGAATTTGAAGGTTTAAGAATGAGCCTAGTGTAAGTGATGTGGGTAGGTAGGGTTTTTTTAGCTGATTATTCAGGTAAAAGGTGCTGATTATTTCTATTCATTCAGGCAGAATGCAGTCTGCAGCAGTGATGGCACGTAGGGAACCTGCGATTCCACTTGACACTGCTGGGAAAAGTAAAACATCTCTTAATATTAAGGTACAAAATAGCAGGTTAAGAGTAACAGTTAATGGCGGATATGATTATGGAGGTGGTGTGCATATAAAAATACATATTTTCTTTGTATGTTTTAAAGTATTTAATTCTTTTTAATTTGGCCTTTGGTCAGAGGGTATATTGTATGTTTTAAAGTATTCTTTTTAATTTGGCCTTTGGTCAGAGGGTATTGTATGAATGAGAGGCTTACGGTTTACAGTGGCTCCTTTCTTGGTTAGTGATGCCTCTGCAGCTAATGCTTAGAGGCAAAATCCAGAGCAGAATTTCCGTGTAGGCATCGCTGCTGTTGAACAGGGGCAGTGTTTGTTACGGGGTTTCTCACCAGAAGGTGTCAGAGTAGTTCTATTTTTATTACATTGCAGGCTTCTCTCTACAAGGGTAACCTAGCAGAGTAAGACATTGTAACTTAGGCTGCTTTGTGAAGAAATGTCATACAGCGTTTAATTCTTTTGTCCGTTCTTGAGGTATCATACAAATGGAAGAGGTTGTTTTAACTTTGGAAAACATAGTGTGAACAAAAATAATGACGTAGCACTGAACACAAAGTGCAGGAAGAAGCAAGGAAGCTGTAGTGGGCGCTTCCAGGCTGCGGAGAATGGGTATTTGAGAGACCTGGGCTGTATTGTTGGTATTGTTGCAGAAGTGAAGTTGGGCTCCAGCTGGTGGGTGTAGCTGTAGCAGTGTAAGATCTGGTCACCGCTGTCATGCTGAAGGTGGGGGGCATCGGTTTGCCCAAGACTCACAGAGGTCCAAGCCTTGCCTAGTAGTGCAAACCCACCTTCACTGTCATCTGCAAGGGGGAATGGCTGAGGTGTGCATGGGTGTTCCAGGCTGTGTTCTCCATTGGAGAGACACTGATGTCCAGTGGAGGGAAAATTGTCTGGGCTAGGTAACTTCTTCAGCTGCTGCAGCGGAATTTCTTAGAGCCATTATTTGTCACATTTCTGGCCAATATTTCAGGTGTGTCTGGTCTGTGCAAGCCACCCATCCAGAGAATCTGTCAACCTAGAGAGTCCTTGGTTCAGCTCTCCTTTTAGGACATGCCGTCCCCTTGGCAGAGTGGAGAAGGATGGAGGAAGAGAATGAGGATCACAGGCAATTGAATTAGGCAGAATAATTCTGTCAGGCTGTTTACTTTTGAATTACTTGTCCTGATTTCATCAGATGGGGTTTCTGAAGCAGTGGTTCCCAGCGGTAGTCTGCTTGGTGCTGCTGTGGGTGGTGGGAAAGGTTGCACAGGCTCTCACTTTTGTGTTGGCCTTTGCATATGCAGGCAAGGGTTTGGGGTTCAAAGCGTGCAGTTGTGTACGCGTGCCATGGTCTGGAAACTGCTGCTATGTGGGTTTCTAAAACAGGAAAGAGGGGAATTGTTCTGAAAAGCAGCTATTTGTCAATCTTATTGTGCCCCAAATAAATGCTGCCTAAGCTTTCTAGTCATTAAAA